AGCCCAAATGGCAGCCGCCGCCAACGAATACGTCCAAAGCAGGTTTGAAATGCTGTGAGGTCACTGGGCGCCTCGTCCAGTTTAATGTACCAATAGCCTGATGATAAATCAGCCTTAGTGAAGATTTTGGCATCCTTCATTTCATAGAGCACATCTTCCAGTATGGGTGTGGTATAATGCTTCCGCATGAGTGACTTGTTCAGCTCGTCGTGATCAAGGCATATTCTTAGAGAATCATTTTCCTTTTAGTTATCACCAAGTGGCAGACCCTTGGTGTGGGTCTCTCTACTGGGTCGATGACCCCCACCAATTTATTAAGTCTCTTTAGTTCTTGCTTCAGCTGAAGCTGCACTGAAATGGCTGTTCTTTGGTTATCCATCACAACGGGAACGGCGCCAGGTTTCACTCTTAGTGCTGTCATTCCTGGTAGTTTGCCTAGCTTGTCGTCAAATACCTCCTTGAATTCAGCATCCAGAGCAACAGCTGCCATACGGTGAAAATTCTTCTTCTTTATTTTCATTAGGTCCACTTGTTCACTTGTTCGAAGGCTCAGCAGAGGCTGACAACGATCGTCATCTTTAAAGACAAGGAACTCGACTGAGTATTTTTTCTATGTTTTAGGGTTTTTATGGTCGTTCGACAGACCCCGAGTCGTATCACTAGGGCCTTGTTCCACATCGAGAAGACCCCATTATATGGTTTTATTTCTCTAGAAAATTTTGCTGGAAGCATGTTGACCGTTTCCCCAGTATCAATTTGAAAGAGACTTATTTCTTATCCAGCATCATAATGCATCTCTCAGTTTTTTCTTTGTTACTGCATTCAATCATTGTGTATCTTCTTCCACTTCTTCAGAGGTGGTGCTGAAGTAGTGCACCTGAGATCGATGGGGCTTTTTTCCTATTTTTCTTCTGGGTACCGCTGTTTTTTTATTTATTGATTTTCACTTCTCTGTTGGGATACTGCGCATCAAAATGGTTCTTTTCATGACATGTCTTGCAGGATCTTGCTATATGCGAGATATTTGTCTCGCCTGGGTATGTGCATATAGCCACAGAAATGACAGTTTTTTCTTCGGGTCGTTCCTCTTAGTGTCATAAACTTTAAGCACCTGGGCTTCCTCTGCTCCCATGACGTTGCTATGAGCGGAAGCCATCTCTGCTGCCTTGTACATGTCAATGTACCGTTGTAGGGTCATGTTTGTATTTTGAGTAAGTCTTGTCTGGTGCTGTGGTCCCGTATTCAGTAACGATTTGGTCCCTCATCAGCGAGTTACGACGTTTGTCACAAAAATTACATGTTTGTGAAAGGGCTCTGAGGCTGCTATAAAAGCTGTCAAATGATTCACCTTCGTCTTGTTTTTTTTTTTTTTCGAAACGCGAAACGTTCATATGTCTCATTGGTAATAGCTATTGCATATTCCTCAAATGCATCTAATATTTCTTGGACGGGGTGATCGTGTTCGAGTGGTGTAAAATGCATGACCTTTTATATTTTCATTGCATCATCGCACAGGTAGTTCTCCAGCACTGCTACTTGTATTTCTCTGGATCGGCGGCCCAGCTCGGATAGTAGAAAGTAGTTCGTTCATCGCTGTCTCCACTTTGTCTGCGCCCAAATTTAAATGTTCAGGGGCTCTAACGTGAAGACCAGACATATTGTGGAAACAGCGTCTACTGTTTCTTTCCGATGACATTGTGATAACAAGACAGGGATTCTACGGGAATTAACAGGAGTGAGAACAAGAATCAAGGAGAAAAGGAAAACAACAACAAAAAATTGTCCTCTTAGAAAGTCTAAGTGAGAAATAGAGAGAAAATATAGATAGTGGGCAATGTGGAAAATCAACGACGTTGCCAGTACCGACATGTTAGTTCTCGACAGAATAAAATCAAGGTATCAAAAAAACAGCTTACTGCGTGTTTGACAACCTGTCGTCTTGTAGCGACGGGGTTACCAATATTGTAAGCGTGTGTACTACATATATTTAACTTTGGCTAGGAAAGGTGGGATTAAGGACAATGCGTGGACGCAATGCAATTTATATTTGACGTAAATAGCACATAGTATAAAGTACAAAACTGAACGTAATGATTTCAAAACATAACAATTGAATTTATTAAGTATTTGATGTACATGCATGTGAACTGAAAAGTTAGACAGAGTTGTGTCTCTTAGACTAGCTAATATTTGTACCTAAGCTCATAAAGAAGAAGTTGATTATTAAACTGTAGAAGAATGAGTTGTTGCATGTTTGGAATTGTGTATTGTACAAGTTGATAAAAGTTCAGAAGAGATTTCAGAGTTCGTACTTGTGTGAATGTTGTTAATGGTCTTTAACGTCTGACTACATGGTCAAGACGGAAGTTCTTGAAGATTACATCTTGGCAGCAAGGAATGAGACGAGAGAGAGAGAGAGAGAGACAGAGAGAGAGAGAGACAGAGAGAGAGAGAGAGAGAGACAGAGAGAGATGAATGAAAAGAAACACGAGGGATCTTACACGTGTTTTGTTTTTATAAGATTGTGTATCACGTGGGAGGCTCAGAGCATATTGTCGCGTGCAGGCGGTTTGATTGGTCGGAACGGACCAATCAGCGAGCTAGTTTTGAGTAGATTAACCAATGAATGCTTGTCTATGTACTGTGTTTATGTAATGTGGTGGTGGTTAGCGCAGTCTCTTCAAATAGCAGAGACGTGTTTCAGTAAACCACTGAGCTGCCACCATGTTACGTTATGTATTTGTTATTAGTGAAGACGACAAAGGAGATAGGCACAGTGACAACTTTATTGTTTAGTCATCATTACAGGAAGTGCTCTTTTCCGTTTCCGGAGAGCTACCTAAACAAGGTATCATAATATAAAGTGGGGTCAAGGTGAGTGTCTACACGTAACAAGCTCATAGCCTAATGTATCGGACAGTAAATGTCACTTGATTTATGTGAGATGTCTGGAATGGAATCTAAATTTAATGAATAATACTTTGACTCTCTTACTTCTTCAAGAATAGCAAAAAGAACCTGTTGTCCCATTAATTCAATAAATTCCTCACAAATATTTGCGGATAAATATGACGGATTCCCTTTTTAAAGATTTTCCATACATTTTGAAACGTTCTTCCAAGAAAGTGTCAAACTCACCCAGGAGCTTTACCTAAATAATTGGCATTTTTGCTGACCCAATAATCTGATTTTCTTCCCAAAATGGCAAACCTCTGGAAGCAAGAAAGCGAGTTACATAAACCACACGTGTCAACATTTTATGCCAATATTCTTGCTTTGAGCGATGTTGTTCAAGTAATAAAGAATCTACACTTCCAGTTCCTTTATGTCTTATCAAATATTCTGTTATAGCATTCTGCTGCCACTTGTTTTCGACTACAAATATCTATGCAAAAGGTGGGTCACAGAGCATTACTATTTTTCTCACTTCTCATTGGTTAGTTAATATTAAAATCATCTTCTCAACTACATCCGAAGAACATCGACCTAGTTCCTGACCCGACAAAAATGCAATTCCGCCCAAATCTGTATATACCTTTCGGAGCCGATCACGTGATTACGTTTATTATAAATACCAGACACAAGTTCTTTCTTCCTCTTTTGCTTTCTCTTGTAGAGGACCGTAGTTTGAAGATGGAAAGGAACACACATGGGTTAAAATTTCCTGCTAGCCGGTCCAACTACATGAGAATGTTGGACTTTAATTAAGTCAAAAAAAAAAACAAAAAAACAGAAAACAAAGAAGACCGATAATTATATACAAACAAATATATGTATTAACAAGTTACAAGCACATGGACAGTTACATTGAGTTTTGTGGTGAATATTATGTGTGTATTGTGGTGAGTGTTCGTACGTACGTGTATTGGTATTGTTCTTAGCGTATTCCCAGAATTTGGGAAACGCTGTATTGGTGAGAGCTCACATATTGGTATTAGCTGAAATGACGAAAGAAGAGAAAAGAATTACCTCACCTCTACGCGAGGTGGTTTGCGGCCCAAGGTCTGAGGGGAAAGAGAAATCGAGGCAAAAAAGTCACCCAGTATTTATAGCCAGGGGAGAGACCCTGGTGAAGGATTAAGGAACTAAGTAGGAGATAACCCCTGACACTCTCGCTTACTAAAATGTAGCTGTTTAAGAAATCGCGTTCCGACCCCAGTTCGAGTGGACTCTATGAAAACGTATTCACGCACACACATACACGCACGTATGGAAACTTAATTACAAACACTACAGAAACATTACAAGCATCAACATATTACGAATATTCAACTACAAGCAACGGAAACTAATTCAACATTACAGAACATTTACTCCTTCAACTCTTCTGAAGCTAAAAGTTTATCAACATATTCCCAGCTTTACAGAATTTTTTCAACTCTCTCTCAAAATGAACAATTTTGAGCGGCAAGTTTATTCAACTTTCTACGAACTCAGATAAAAAAATATTTCCTTAGTAAAGACGTTACTTCCAGTCAAAGGGAAGTAACTCCTATTAACCATGCTTATATATTATTACACCCATAAAATATAAATATTGTTGTTGTTATAAAAACAGTTTTTCGTGTTGTTTCTCTTGTTTGTTTTTCGTTTGCTTACACATCTGTAAAGTAAAAAAATGTACGGGTTGATTTATGCCATCAATACCGCTACATCGTCATGTACTTTCGATGTTCTTCTCCATTTTCATGTTTTAGAATAACATTGCTGTGCTTCCAGTCATTGGACCCCAATGTAGCAAAGGAAGATTCATTCTTGAACAACAGGTGACACACAAAGCAGTACAAATGAGCTTGGGATGGTGAATAGAGTTGCCATTCACGTTTTACATACTCGCCATTTTACAGTTCACGTTTGAACACATTGATAACTACATTGCTTTCATATTCTCAGCACCAGATATTTTATACACTCTGCGTGAGATTAACAGGTTGCTATTAGGATTCTGGCATGATGAGGGCCCACTACTAATCCAGTAATCTATTGTGTTAGTATCATTAATGTTCCATAGCTCCGGATCTATCTCTTGGTTTGCAAACTCATTTACTGTTACAGATTTTGGTATTTCCTTTTGTGAAATGTCACCACCAGCAGCAGCAACAGGCGATGGTGGTATGTCTGCTGAAACTGGATGATTGGAATGGATGTAGATGTGGATGCTATATCCAAAGGAATGGTATGCGTGGTTGTTGTTGTACCTATGTTGAGTCATGATGTTAATTTTGGAAGTTTTTTCTATTTTGTTCTTCTCCTCTGCAGCTCTCTTCTTCTGTGCTTCACTCAAAACATTACGTTTCATTTCTACTGAAAGGGTTATTCACCTGGAAATATATATCTTAAATATTTATTATTTAATCCCACACTAGGGTGTAGCGTTATATTATATAAGTGTGCTTGCAACAAGACCTAAATAATTAAACATTCTGCTTCCATAACGAATATGTCCTTCCTGTATGAACAGTATTTATTCTTAATACAATCTCTACTGTGTGTTGATTCACAAAACTGCCGGTCAAGACCTAGATCAAGCTTAGTGGTATAGTTAGGGTGTCTTCTTGTACTGATCTAACCTCAACTATGTATAGGTCTACAAGATTACTTTCAACACTTTTCTCAACTTGCACAATTAAAATTAATTAGTACTATTGTAGTGATAGGGGTACCATTGTTGTTTGTTTTCGACGGGATCATTAAATATGTAGCTGTTGTATTATCATCGTTGTAGCGATTGAGTTACCAATATTTAACTTGGGCTAGGAAAGATGAGATTAAGGACAATGCGTGAAAGCAATGCAATTTATACTTGACGTAAATAGGACATAGAATAAAATACAAAACTGAACTGAATGATTCCAAAACATAACAATTAGATTTATTAATGTTTGATGTACATGAATGCGAACTGAAAAGGTAGGACAGAGTTGTGTCCCTTTGATTAGGCATTAGTTGTACCGGAGTTCATATTAAGAAAGTTTGGAATTGTGAGTTTGCAAAGTTGGTAAAAGTTCAGGAGTGATTTCAGAGTTCGTGAATGTTGGTAATTATCTTTAACGTCTGGTCAGCAATGACTAAGAGGAGTCGGTGAAAGTTATATCTTGGCACTTGGTAACTACTACTCAAAAGGTTCACACGTGTTCAGTTTATATAATGGTCAAGTGGCTCCTAGCATATGAGCAGGGGAAAACAGATTGGTCGCGTGCAGGTGGTTTGATTGGTCGGAACTGACCAATCAGCAAGCTAGATTGGAGGTGATTGACCAATGAATACTTGTCATATTGTATGAAAGTAGAATTTTACTTACCAGATAGGAAGAGTGCATTTCCTAAAAAAGAGGTAAGGCTGGTTTGTTGTGGAAGATTCCACAAGGTCCAAAACTAAACTTTAAACTGGTTTGTTACAACCAGTATAAAAAAACACATACAACATATTCATTTGTAGTGGACTCGGCCTAGGTTCTAATCAATAAAATAACTTGCTCTTTCTAAGTAGAATCAACTGTAATATTTTGGAATTCACTGTTTGAAAAGTTGAAAAAAATATTAAATGATGTGTCACCACAATATTATAGCTAGTTAAGAGTATATGAAAGAACATTTGGACTTTGCTCAAGCTTGTTGATTGAGAGAAAATGTAATCTTCACTTGAAATATCAAGAAGTTGTGGGGTGCTTGGAGAAAGAAAAGAAATATTTTTATTTTCTCCACTCTCCAAAGTTCATATTAGGCATTAGTAACATCTGTGATATACTGACACTTTAACATGATGAAAGAAAGAATAACTCAAAGAAAGGAAGAATAACTCAAAGAAATTAATTTCAAAGATGTGTTATACCTGAAAACATTTTATATGCACATTGAAAATATACAAATATGTTATACAAAAATGCAATACATAAATATATATATATTCACCACAATTTGTCCCACAGAAAAAAATTTAAAACATATATAAAAAAAGCAAGCAGTAGATGAAAGGACAAATAAATAGAGGGCAGCTGAATAGTGAACTGACTCTGCATGCTTAGAAAATTAAAACAAGAAATGATCTGAGATAGTTAATTACAACAACAAAAAAATGATGGTTAATTACAACAACAAAAAATGTATAAATTCAATTTCATATGTTATGGTTTTATTAAAATTCTAAAAGGTATTTTTTTAAAAAAAAACTTTTTTAAAATGACTGTAGGAGGTATTTTTTTTTTTAAAGAAGTCTAAAACAAAACCCTAAAAGAGAAAAGATCCATATAGTTATGGTTAATTACAAATTATAAATTAATAATCTTTTAAATAAATAATTGAATAAATAATGTTTAACAATTTTTTTAGTCAATTCTTGAGAAAAAAATGTTAAAATTTAGTTTCGTATGTTGTGGTTTTATGAAATTTCTCAGAATAGCCTTTTTAAAACAATGAAAATTACTGTTAGAATATATACAGAAATAGTGTCAAGAGAAAAATGCCAGACCCTTTTGGGGCCTGATCCTAAGTAAAACTTTGCTATAATTCTAATTTTGCAATAAACCAAAAACTGGCTCTGCAAATATCTGTAATTCTAATAAATTGTTAACACAAACAATATGAATTGGTTGAATTCTATCACAGGTAGTAAGCAAAAAATGATAAACAAGTGTGAAAAAGTCTCCTTAAAGGTAACATAAAGAAGAATGAGTATTTTTAAAATGTTATCTTTATTAAAGAAGTTCTTACTAGTAATCATAAGGAAAAATGTTGGGTGAATAGCAGGTATTTAGTGTTCTACTCTAATTTAATAACATTTTATTTGTGATCTAACTATTTCTATTGGAAAAAAATTCAATACATTTCCTATGTAACAGTACTGTCATTGGCAAAATCTGTAAAAAAGTGGATCACAGAGCCTTGATATTTCTCTGACTCTTGATTGGTTAATTAATGCCAATATCATGCTTTCGTCTATGTCTGCATGGTTAAAATTAATTTACTGCCAAAAATCTGTCTGTGTATTTTGAACCTATCACGTGACATACAACATTCTTCAACTCTTCCTCTTTTGACTTCTCTTATACACAAGATGTAATGTTAGAGAGATTATGTTTGTCCCTTAAGGGCAAACGCTATGAAACACATATACACACACATGCTCACACGTACGTACAAACATCTGTGACATCTATTCATTCCTTCACTTGCAAGAACACAAAAATTTATTCAACTTCTAACAGTGAAATTTTCTTCAGCAACAATCATGTCATCTGAGAGAATACAACTTTCAGCTCTTACCAGTTTTTCACTAGCAAGAAATATTACTTCAAAAACCTTTTGGAGCTATAAGTTTCAATTCAACATATTCTCAGCTTTCCAGAATTCTCTCGCTCATATTCATCTCTCTTCGGGGAACAATTTAAGCAGCAAGTTATTTCAACTTATTACTCTAAATTTTATTCAGAAGTTTAAAATCTAAAAACTATATTTTAGTACTAAACACAACTTCTTGATATTTCAAGTGAAGATTACATTTTCTCTCAATCAACAAGTTTCTTTGAACTCATCTTACACCGAATTTCAGTCTACAACACCTTCTTATCGAAGAATATTCTTTCCATTGAAACTTACTATTATTTCTTGAACTGAAATCTTTTTTCTGTGAGATCAGATAAAAATATTTTCTCTTAAAAGGCTTTAAGAATAGCAAGTTAAAGGTAAATAACTCCTGCTATATTATTAATTAAAATACTACACATTAGCATAACACTTTGTAACAATTTGCAACTAAGTTTAAATTACCTGAGTAAATTCATTCTTTAGTTTTGTATATTGTTGATGTAAAAATGTTTTGTTATTTCTAGAAAACATATTGTTTTATATTTTGGATTTGATAACCTTATGACATACCCAAAGTTACATATTTTTCCTAATAACCTACTTCTCTGCAACAGGTATGTCAAAACACCTTTAACTGATTCAATTTTAGTTATGTCATTGTAGGAACATGAAAGTATTAATTAATTATATGCATTGTTCGGTTAAAGGAAGTAATGATGCATCAATCCACTCTTATTCCACCAAATATTCATCATCTTTGCATATTATGGTTTCTCATTCATATCAAGCCATAGTGCAGTTATTTTCTGGTTATTATATAAAATACCTTTTTTGAAATTCCAAATGATTATATAATGGAAAATAGATTAGTTTAATACCATTAAATATGATGGATGCAAGTTTCTATGCTCGATTTTTTTGTTCTCCATTCACTTCATTTAGAACACTTTTATCAAGTCTTTTTAACTTACAATTCTTTTTTTTAATTTTAAAATATTTCAATGCATTGAAATTCTCTTTTTTGGAATCATTTTCCATTATTATGGTTTGGACTATTTCTCTTCTGTTTTTTAAGTTGAAATTCTGAAGTGTGAGTTTGTATCTTCTGACTGGCTGGCTGGCTGGCTTAAAACTACAATCAGGACTGCTGACCAAACAGCATATGTTCTGTTTTTTATATCTGTTTGTCTACTTAGAAATTTTAAGAACAAAATTTTTCTGTTTGTTCATTTAATAGTATTTTTTCCCAATGTGAAATTGCACAAGTATATTTGAACATCAGCTATAGGTTTAATAACAGGTTAGACAAACCTCTAGCCTTGAGTGGCTGCTAGTCTAGAAGGATTTTTCCAAGACAAGTCACAGATAATCTTGGACAGTCATGATCACCCATGTTTTCAAGAGACATGGAATTTAAAATAAAAATTAATTGAACAACCCAAATAGAAAGGTCTTCTCTGTTTGTCTAAAAAAAAATGTAGTAAAAATTAATGAAATGAAAGAAATTTTTTATTGAATAATCAACAAGTAATATATTATTTGAAAATAGAATATAAAAGTAAAAAGGCTATTGGTTTTGAAAAAAAACAGTTTAAATAAAAAAAATAACAAGCTTTAAATGAAATGTGAAATTTCATACTGAACTTGATAAATAAAGGTACATATGGTTAGATCACCTTTGTAAATAGCCTGTTTTTGGTAAAACTTAAAATAACATGCAAATTAGGGAACAAAAAATAGAATTTTAGTGAACAGCTGCTAGTTACAATTTAGTCACAATGTAATATCTTTGACGGGCCAATATTTTGGTTCATTTGAGGATTATTTTGATTCTGTTAGGTTTCAATCACCATTGTATTTTATTACACTTGTGTTGGTAGATAGATAATAGATGAAAATGAATTTTGAATTTAGAATCTATATAAATTCAATACTTATATTGCAAAATGTTATTAAAAAATCTTTTAATAACTTTTTCACAGTCACAAAAATCAAGTAACTTATTTCTGCTTGAACTTCCCATGGAAGAATGGCCTAGTGGATTAAAGTGTTGGTTTATGAATTTGGTTTGGCATAGTAATTGAGTTCATACTCTAGGTTGTGTAGTACAGACTCAGTAGAAAGAGAGTAAGCAATAACCTAGCAGTACTAAAAGGAACAAGATGAGATACCCTTAGACACGGACAGTAGAACAAGAACAATTTACACTTGTAGATTAAATAAAGGGTTCACTTCAAAATTTCCGTGGGTCACCTACATTGACAGACACTTAAAGTTCAAATGTAAATAACAAATAGTGTGGGAAATTTGTCCTGACTTTCCCACATGAAAGGGTTAAGGTTAAAGGTGTCAGGATTGATAAAAGCAAGAATGACTTGAAAGTTTAGAGCAGACAATTCTCTCTTTTAAGTGGAAGAATAAAGACCCAAACTCCTGCTCAGAGTGTAACAATAGAAGAAGAAAATATTTATTTACATACACAAAGGTAAAGGGATATGTACAAAATATGAGAGAAAGAGAGAAGAAAATTCCTTTAACTTAAAGGAAGCAAAAGTGTTTTTAAAGGCTTGCTCAAAATATTTTTCTGAGGGCCTCAAATTTCTTTAAACAAGTAAATTGTTCTTAAAGGGTTAACACTCACATAAATTTCTTCAGAGCTCTTGTTAAGAGGGAGATAATCAGAAGATACATAGTTTGTAGTTAAGTGAGTTTGTAGACCACAAACAGGAATTTCTAGATGCAAGGAAGTAGATCTCAATTAGTTTTTAGTAGATGGTATCGTGGCACCCCCTGTTCATGTCCATGGCAGATGAGTTATTACTTCAGGACCTTTGCCTATTCTTCATTGCATCACCCCACTTTCATCTATGCATATGGCAAGCTTATTTAGATTTTATAATCAATCACATTTCTCTTTGTTGATTGATTAATATTAACACAATTTACATAGTCCCCTTGAACATTTCATAACATTTTTAATACATTATAGCAACTTGGTATTTAATTTTTAGATACTAAATACATAGCAAGCTTGGTGACATGACTACACACCTATTATATGTCACCTTTTCAGCGATCTTTGAGGAGGCAAGGGGAGGAGGAATGCAGGCCCCTGTGACCAGGGTGCTTGGACAGGTTCTGTATTAAGTTACAGCCCACTTATTTTGGTCTTCTAGCTAGATGATAGTAAGAAACTTTCCTGTCTACTCTTCCAACATTCCTGGCCTTTATTACTTTCAGCGATCTTACTTTATTTCTGCCATTTCTGACCTGTGCATACACCAGCCACCTCAGTTTTCTACTTCCTGCTTTTGTTCCTGCACTGAACAGTCCCTCCTACTTCTGGCATTTCTAAACCTGCTCATACAATGGTTGCAACAGCCCCTTACTGCAGGCTTTTATGGACTTGCGAGTTTAATGGCCACCACAACTCTTTACTTCTGGCTACATATGGAGAGGCCATTTTTGGCATTCCTATTTCAACCTAACTCACTTGGTTCATTATAATGAATCTGCACCAGACAGTACAGCTATTTCAGTCTATCTTCAACTGCTCATTGTGAACACACTACCAGTACTTATCAACTTCTAGCGTTTCTTTTCAACCTAACTTAGTTCCTACAATGCATCACCAGACATTATCTACCACCGGCGTTTCTTGTCAACCTAACTCACCTGGTTTAGGAAGTTGCTGCATGCATATTGTCCAGACTTTAAACAACCTATTCTGTACATTTGGGTTAAATACTACAGAAGATCCATTGTTTGACGCAACCAGCAACTATTCAATGTTAGCACCAGACATTTAAACTGAGCTTTCTTCACCTTTGGCTTTTTCTGCCAAGCCTAACTTACCTGGACTCTACTTTTAACATTTAGTCATAGTTATATTATCTTTGATCTTCTATTCATTCAGTATTCCTCCATTTACTTAATTTTTCCTCCATTTATTTGATTCATTATTTGTTCATGTTTCTTTAACTGAAACACTACTTTTGTATATATATTATATAAATAAATTTTGTATTAATTTAAATTTGTTGTTTTTGTTGTCCTCTTGTTGACCTGTCAGATTTACGTTATTTATTTTTAAATGTTTGCAGGCCTCCTGTGATTCATCTTTATTTAGGCACACAGGCCATATCCTATATTATATTGCTCCCCACTCCAGGGGGTCTGCAACAATTGCTGAAATTCTGTCTTTAGAGCTTAGCATGTAGACTTCTTCCTTGAAACAGGTTCTGAAGATGACTAGTGTTTTGTTGCTGACCCAATGTTATCACAGATGATGTCAAGTACTCACTGCCAAAGAGGCGCATATTCTTGGTATTTATTGAGATTAGAAGGCTCAGAAATATCAGGAACTTTTCCCTCCAAAATTGCTATACACTCCCACCACTGACCCTCCCTTTTAGCAGAAAATATATTCTTATCTCTGACAAAAATCAAAGGTTAGGGAGCTGGTTTTTGGAAGTAAGGGTCCAGCAAGTAGTGAGTGTTACTTAACTCCTCCCCACCTGACTTACCATGGTACCATGGTCAGAACAAGAGTGGTCAAATTCATTTTTATATTTTCCAGCTCTCTCAGTTTATCAAAAAATATATTCTTATCTCTGATAATTTTTTGGGGGGAGCCAGATTTGAAAGTAGGGGGGAATGTTGGGGCAAAGATCAGAAAAGAGGCTAGAAAGTGAACTTGTAAAACATTGTAACAGTGGTTCTCAAATTAAATTCTAATACTAGCTAATATTACAAAAAAACAACTCCCATTTAGCTCATAAACAGCTGCTGTAAATGATGCTAAAAATTAAAACATTGCTTAAGATTAGGGAAAATATTAAACATTATTTTAAATATTAATTGGGAAAAAAGATACTTGGATTTTATTTTTTACATACTTGAAAAGTTAATAATATTTTTTGTTTTAAAAATTTCTTTTTTAAACATGGTATAAGTTTTATATTGATTAAATTGCTATTAATTTTATATTTATCAATATAATGGTAATATTGTTTTTTTAATGATTCATTACAGGACATATGAGTTCCGTGAGAAAAGTGACAATCTTATTCTAAGTACTATTTAGTTTTAATTTTACTTTGGTTTTAAATTTTCAAATTTTTTATTCACATTGAAAAAGAATTAACTTTAATTAGAAATAATAGCTACCAAAATAAGATAAAATCTCATTTCAGAAAATCATTTAGAAGATATTTAACAAGGGTTTTATATTTTTATAAGGAATTTAAACATTTTTTTTCCTTTTCATATGATCATATAAGGACTGTATTCTTTACATTTAAATAAGAATATTTCTTTTTTGCTGATAAAAATATTTTACAAGGAACTGAAAATAGTTTAATACTAACATGAAAAATATAAGCTCTATTTGAATGATGCCTAAAATGTTATTAGTAATTAGCATAACTCTTGTTTGTCTAAACCACAAAAAAATGCTGTAACAATAAGATAGCAAGTTTTCATAAGATAATCACTTTTATATCCATACATTAAAAACCAAGTGAAATTAGTATAAACTACTTCTACGAATTTATACATGGCTAATATATAATTTATGTTGAAATAATCGATTAAATCAAACCTACTTAGGTTGATGAGCTTTCATTTTATTTTCTTAAAATAGTATGTTTGATTTTTTTTCAGAAGGGTACTTAATTTATTGTTTAAAATTTTTTCCATTTGTCTAATTTACTCGTTTCTACAAAAGTATAGTAGGTTTTTAATTAGACATTTTAAATTTCTCAAGGAGAGAATCAAGCTAAGATTTTCCGCGCCTTTCGCCATTACATTTTCGTGAAATATTGTATCCACCTTGTCTCCCTTGTAAAAGTCGAGTGAAGTATTTGGGCTCCGTGGCAATCTAAAGGCATCCCCTTATAATACTGAATCTATCATGCCACGTCCGTTACGTGGGGGAATTTGACATTAGTTTTTTTCTTTGTTCCTCTTAATTTTTGGCACTAAATTTGCAATAGTAGAGTGGGATAAGAACAAAGGTTAAATGTGCGATAGTCTATTGATGTAAATTGAAGCCCTAAGTAACAGCGTATACTTAGAATATAATACCTCTTCTTTAAACTGGGAAGCCATTCTAGCGATGGCCTGCATTAACAAGAGAACTATTTTAAGTCAGCCACTTCGTGTGCGTTACTCGGTATATTTTTTCTGGCCTTCTGATATGGTAGGAAATATTTTGTTTGTTTTTTTTCGGTTAAGCGAATATTTTTCTCCTTATTGATAGCTTTTTTAAATAGATGATCGGTCTCATTTTATTATAATATATAGGTTTCGTTAGTCCGCAAGTCCGGCCCAGATCGCCACTCCGTACCGTAACCCAGTTTCTATTTTTATATCAACACATTGTGTTGTTTTCATATTCCAGCATGGCTGACACAATTGCTGGCTGTCCACGGCTCGACATCGACTTCTACTTGATGGAGTAACCATATTATAGCCTGGAAGGTCAGTAGTTGTTGATTAAATTCATGCAAGCCATTCGTTAGTGTATATGTCAGCATTTATTTCCCAGCGATTTTCCATTGCCTTCCTGGAGAAATGATGGCTTTTCATCTGAAATACTAATGGTGACTAATAGACTATTGACTTAGCTTGTCCAATTTACTTTTTTAACGTTACTATTATTATACAGACTTATTTTTTTTAGTTTTAGGTATATTAGTGTGCTTAATATTGTGTACTGCTTGCAAAACGTTCAACACAGGATAGTAATTACTCAGTTAACTTAGGCGGGAATTTATTATATATCGTTTGACAAGCTAGCTGTAAGATTCAAAAAGTGGGTTTGGACTCTAGCAACAACCAACCAGGTCTTGGATAGTCATTTGATTTTTGCACACAGCAGCTATATTTCATAGTCTTAGTTAAATTGACATTACTGTGGCATTTTCTGACTAAAATTGGCTTTCTTTAAAATTTCTTTTGGGACTGAATAAGGAGAAACAGTGTACCTTGGAAATAAATAGCATAAAAAAAAAAAAAAAAAATACAATATTTGTTTATAAAATTTTTTTTTTATTTTTTGCAAATCGTTTTCTTGTTATTTAAGTTAACAGCTAAATTTAGTTACATAGTCCAATTATTTAGTCTTTTTTAATAGTGTTCTTTCATTTTTTTTGTGTTCGTTTACTTACTTTCATTTCGTTTTGCTATAATTAGTGACACCATCATTGAAATTTAAATAGAACTATTTGATTGAAGTTGACATTTTTTTTTTTAACCAACAAATTCAATATGTACAGACACTACGAAAATTTTATATAACAATTCAATAGCTCATTTTTTGATTTTGAGAGCGACAAACTCCAGAAAGTTGAAAGCAAGCAAGCGAGGTGTTATAATTACCATATCCTCCTTTTGCGTTGTAACTTAATGCTAAAACGATTTTTTTTTAAAAAAAAGCACTAGAGTTAAAAATAGTTTTACACAGCAAGACGAGAAAGTAAGAAGTACCAAATTAAAATATTAAATAAATAATTATCTTTATCAATATATTATTTCTCAATAATGTAATGTCGGTAGTCTAAAAATTGTTTCTTCAACTATCAGGCAGTATATAGAACTTAGCTCTGGCGAAGCAGTACCACTTAACGAACCGCTACCACAAAACACGTCACTCGATCAATTGTATCTAGCCTAATAACCACATTTCAGCATGTTGCTGCCTATGCGAGCTAAGCTCAACTTTGCTTCATTAATATTCATGAATAACGTTGGCTTCTGATTGGTCGAAAGAATAAAGTTGGCTTCTGATTGGTCGAAAATTGCAACTGGTGGCCAAGGTGTGCTGTTTTTTTTTTTGTCAGGATGAAGGATCTAACTCTCTCTCTCACACATATATCTATCTATATGAACTTATTTTTTTTCTTCGTTTGTGGTTTTAACTGTTCAGAGCTAAAGGATATAAATAACCTTGTTGCTTGTTGTATTTGTCTATCTTGAAAGAAAAATCAGAAAGAAATGGGATTTATTTCTTAATTGTCAAAAAAATAAACAAAACATGGAATGTGTCACTGATTGAATGCGTAAGCTAAACTTTATAAAGTTTAATCAAACCAATTAATAAACAGAAACTTATTATCCATAGGAAGAGTTATTACAATTATAGTTCGTTTTTAGTAATATCAACTTATCCATGTTAGTGTTATAAAAAATTTGAGTGGAAAAAAGTTCAATTTTAAAATAATTTCTGAAAATTGATTTAAAAACTGCACAAGAGGAATACATTTTTGAACTGAAGTTCAAATTATTGTTTGCATAAACAAAAAAATAACTATATGCCACTTATGTTACCTGAGAACATACACAGGTGAACTTTAATGGAGTTGTCTGTAAATAAGCAGTATGTATCTCCAAAGATTTACTAAAAAATGAGCATAGATGATGAAAAAATGCCCAAAACTTAAAAACAACTCTTTGTTGTTATTATTAAGAGGAAAGACCAAACAATTTTTTGATTATTAAATTATATTTTTTTTATCATTTTTTAGAACCTTCGAAATTTTGGTTAAAAACTTTTTCTTGTGTCAATGGGAGACCAAAGATTAGTATAGGAAATATTTACCACTTTTTTTTGGTGAAAAACACGATTTGTAAATAAATTCTTGCAAAGATCAAATAATTATTGTATCTTAATGAAACTTTTAGGACTTATTCACAAATGAATAAAAAATTATTTTAGAAATGTTTCTTTTTTAGAAAATCTTGGTAAAAATATTTCATTTTAAAAATCTGTTATCTCACCCCCTTATGAAATTTTGAGAAATTAATTTTTTTATTAGTTATATGCAGAACTTGGAGAACTTAAATCATCAATTGTTTTTTTTGTAAAACATGATGGGGGTCCTGTTACTGAAAAATCTGCTCTGAATCGTAAGATAAAAAATGCAATAAAACTAAGTAAGACATTATTTACTTAGAAATGCTTTTTTTGAAAAAAAAATTTATAAAAAAAGTTTATAAATTCTGTATTAATTTGTACTGGTAAGGTGATAGCGTTATTAAGTAAAAACTATATTTACTAATCATAAATGGAAAAGCTTACTATAATCCAGCCCCCTAACAGTATAATAAAAAGAATTTTGAATTTATTTTGTTTATAAACATGCCAATTTTTGTAAATATAGATGTCCATATACAACATTATGAGAAAATAAGAGCCAAAGTACCTAAAATTCAATAAAACATTGGATTACTAAGAATATATTTCAAAATTTTTAAGATTACTGGGTAAAAATTATATACAAGTGGTGTTCATGTTATATTCTTCAAGTAATTTTTACAGATATGTCCTCTGTAGATAAATTTCTGGTTGTCAGTCAAGCTGTCAACACCTAATCAAAACATCTACCTCTGTGCTAAAAGAAGCATTTCTGCAGTATTTTAAACTAAAAGTAATATTTGTTTGAAATCTAATTAAATTTTAAATCAGCTAATATTCTTGTAATAAAGTTTCAGTAAAGTATATTTTATTCTTGAAAGATTTTTTTTTAATAAAGAATTACGTTATGCTAAAATTAAAAATGCGTAAATTGGTTAAAAATGGTGATTTAAAAACAAAAAACTCCTTCCACTCAATTTAAATTAGTTTTGTAATGCATCAAAGTATTTTGCTTATTGGAAATATTAAATTTAATCTATTAGTTTAAAATTAAAGCTAAAATAAAAGTGTCAAGTTTTAAAAATTCATTTTAAATCTTAGATATTGTGTTTCTTTTGTGGTAACTAATAAACAGTTATTGAAAAAATTTTTACTTGTAAATTAATAGAAGAATAATGTTATTCATCGTGACTTATATTTCTTGGCCTGTTCCACTTCCTAAAATCAGCATTATGTTGTTTGGTCATTGAAATGCTGATGTTGGGAAGTTAGTTGAGCCAAGAAATTTTCAACACCTCCCCATAAGAACTTGTTACTTGTTGATTAGTTTCTTACTTACCCATCATCTCTGCAAATATCTGATTGCTAAAAAGCATTGTCTGTTATATGGCTTCTGTTTCACTTAAAGAGGAGAGTCTGTACATTTCTTGATGCTTGCTACTTTTATTAATGTCTTAAAATACTTAGTTACATTAAATAACCAATCCTGTGTCACAAAATCAGTAGGAACATAATTAAATATTGCCACGTCTTACTTAAGGAAAGTATAACTAAATATTCTTAAATATATATATATATATATATATATATATATATATATATATATTTTTTTTTTTTTTTTTTTTTTTTTTTTTCAGAGTACTTTAAAGAAAAGAGTTACAGAAAATTAGATATCCGGTTATTTAAATAATTTGTTGCAAAGTGTTGTTTGGCATTCTAGGGAACTAAGCATTTTCAAGTAGGTGTCTATAAGGGTATCAATTTTGGTAAATCAGAATGAAAAATAATATAGGTGTAGTAAATATTAATATGTGAGTTTGTGATAGGGTTCCAAAACATGTTAATGAAATATTTTAAAATTTTAAGCAAACATACTATAGCACTTAAGACTGTTCTGAGTCTTAATTTTTTTCTGGTTTACAGCAACATCACACTGGTAAACAGTGGCATGATCACCAAAATTAAGCAATGTCAAGCCTGGTCAGTACCTAGATGGGTGACTGCTTGGGAATACCAGGTGCTGTAAGCTTGGATGTGCAGCTGTTGTCCATAATGGCTCCAGCTATGGGTTAATTAGTAACACTTGTATCACTAAACTCTTACCCCCCACCAAAAAAAAATTATTACAATCTAAAACTATTTTCTGGCTTTAAGTAACCTGCCAAGGGTTGATAAGGCATGGTAAATGAATCAGTCAAGGAATATCTTTCTGTCTTTTTGCTATTGTTAGTAATTGATGGAATATAAGAAGAAATTGAGGATTATATTTTGTCTTAATGTATTAGTACATACATATACTGATTGATGACTTACTCAAAAAATGGTTGATTGCTTTTGATTTGATTTTTTGTGATGTCACAAATGTGGGCATCAAATAACACATTCATGTAAGCAATCTTACACATATATTTTATGTACATAGATGTGCATTTCTTAAATAGGGTAATTGAGCTTTGCTTTGCTTTGATGTCTTCTTGTGACTCAATGGTAAAGCACACTTAGCTTGAAAGTAGTTTCCCATATTAAGAAGGGAATATAAATTTGATTCTTGTCAGGAAGCAATTTTTTTAAAATAAAACTTTTGATCTTTAGGCCTGTGGTCATTAATTTCACTGTTTAAAAAAAACAACAAATACAGGGATGTCTACTCTCAAAGACATGTACCCACTAAATATAACATTTATAGTAATAAATAAGGTTGGATAAAAATAACCCATTAATTTCTTTAAATTACTAATATAATTTGAGTAGGCATAATTATAAGAATTCTTGCAATCATGTGGAAGCTATGCTAGTCGAGAAATGATCACGCTTGGCTAGGCCCATGGCAGAGAAAATTTGATGT